TTTTTTGTGTAAAGCGTGAATTTGGGTGGGACTGTTCAAATTTTGCGAGGTACGAAGGCGGTGATAGCAGTTGTATTTGACTAATAAGGGCTTGCCACGTGTCCAAAAGAATCGTAAGCGATTCAGTCATACAGCGACTGAAAAGACATTTTTTGACCGAACAAATTAGTAGCCCGGTATTAATTTAGCTCGGTTGAAGGCCAACTTTTAGCTTGGCTGGTAAAAAGGTAATCCCAATGATGCTACGCAGATGGAATTAAGGGGCAATTGAGAGGGAGTTTTTATGAGCATTAAGGCCGAGCTAGGCCCAGACGTAGTAATAGGCCGTTCTATGGGCCATGGTGGAAAGGGCTTAGCGAGTGGACATTAGTGTTAGCTCGGTCCAAATATGGTTACAGCCACCACGGTCGGAGTGGTGATAATTAGCTTGGTCATAGCATTCGGAGCCGAGATATTTGGGCTTCTTATGGTGAACCTTGCTCTTGTTAGCTCGGTCAAAGCTTGTTGTAGTTAGCTCGGTCTCAACTGACAAAATCGAGGTACAAGTGAACAAAGAGCCGAGTTATGTGTTGCATATAAAGGCGCTGGATTAAGTATGACAAAGGGTTAGTGTTAGCTCGGTCATACTGTCATCCAACCGAGGTAAAACCATCTCACTTGGTTAAGCAGTGAGGGGGATATTGAAGGATAAATATTATCTTTTAGGAGTGTGATTCTTAGGAGGACTCTACATAGAAGAATAAGAGTCCTACTAGGATTGTGACAGGCAAAAACTATAAAAGCTCACAACATAACCTATGTAGAGGTAACACAACTTTAATTCTTGAATATACAGAGCTTTTTGTCTATTCTGTTGACTTAGGCATCAGAGAGGTATCCGGCACACACCCACCGGCTAGCTCACATTTGTGTTTTCAGGAAGTAAAGCGACGACATTTGGAGGAGCTCAAACTTGATCAACAGAATTATACGAGAAGATTATTCTGCGCTTGTACAAATATATATAGATCACCTACAAGGAAATTTACAAAAATAAAAATAACATATTTACAGATTCCAAAAAATTAATCAAAAGTAATTTTGAAAAATACTCTGTCATCGCACGTTATAATGTGGAAACCACTTCAAGTGTTTTATTTACTTATTTTACTCTTGAGACAATCCCCACATTTTTAGATATTGTTTTTGGGCCATTGCTTTAAGATTTATAATAGCATTTATTGAAAAATTTTGATGGTAGTGAATGCATTTGATATGAACATATAGTGCAGGACGTTGTTATTTTTAATCCGATATCTCTACCAAATTCTTGAAGGAAAAAAAATGTGAATCAAACACCAAAATAAGGAGGAAAAAAATATATAATTGCTAAAATCATAAACTACATGTTTAGTTCTTGATTTTATGAGTTTTTTTCAATTAATGCAGTGTTATTGTTGTATTTTGCCTTCGATATGGCAATACCAATTAACGCATGAAAAATTTGAAAGTTTTTTAACAATAAAAAATTTCCACATAAAAAAATAGGAAATTTCAAAAGAAAATAATGAGTTAACCTAAACATATTGCCCATTATGGTTACAAATAATTGATTCCAAGTTGCTTTCTTGATGAAAGTTGCTTTCCATGTTATGAAGAAGTTACAAGCTGCTTGTCTCTCATGTCATAATGAGAAATCTTGAAAGTTATTTTTATAATTATTTATATTTGAATCCAAACTCGAATAGTACACGTCTTGCCTATAATGTCTTGATGCATATATGTCTTGAAATTTTAGAAAAATGAGAATAAAATGGATAGATATTAGCATATATATTTATTTATTTATTTTGTTCAATTATCTATAAAAAAAGTAAACATGTATAAATAATTTATTTCCTCTACATTTGTCATTTCTTTTGACAATCCAATATCTAAATAAGTCTTTTTAAATTTAGTATATTGGCCCCGTTTGGTAGAGTTACGGGAAAGTGATTATAGATTATAATTTAACAGATTATAGCTTACAGCTGTGAATATAAGCTGGTAACATGTTTGGTGCAGCTATAAGATTATGGATTTAAGCAACAGAATAGCGTTTGATAAATAAGCTGTGAAATAACTTTTTTACTATGTAATTGACATTTTTGCTCTTGTGAACATAAAAATTGTAATTTTGTCATTTTTTTCACTTTAAATTTTGAAATTTTTTTTTGACTAATAGAAGTTGATATTATTATTACCTAATTTGGTACAAATTTTCCATTAGCTCAAATCCTTTCCTCGAAAAGAAAAAAATGAAATTCTTCCTACAAATCTTCTCAGCAAATGCCAACTATTCTCAACTATGAATTAAAATATAGTAATACAAAATGGTTCAATGTAAATTTTTGACTTTAAAACAAAATGCCCATTAAGATGATTTTTAATTACAAATATGTCCCTGCCATATTATTCTTGATGATTTAGCATTTTCCATTAAAATATTAGGCATCTCTAAGTAATTATTTAATTTTATTTTATTTTTTTGTTTTGCTTATTTTTTAGAATTTACATAAACAAGGCTTGCTGACAATTTTATTCCTTTTTTTCAAAATTTATTAATTAAGGTTGGCTCAACTTTATTATTTAATAACCATTTCTTGATAGAAAATCGGCTAAGATTTCAAGTTTGGAGAAGCTAACCACACTTCTTTTTTTTTTTTTCCCCAATAAAAGTATTAAAAACAACATAATGGCTAACCACACTTGTGTTCTGTAAATAAGTCCACACTAGGATTGTAAATAAACTGAATTGTTTATGAACAAGCTCGACTTGGCTCGGCTCGGCTCGTTAAGGGCTTAGCTCAACTCGGTTCGGTTCGTTTAGTAAACGAGTCGAGTTCGAACTCGCATAAGCTTAGCTCATCAAGCTCGGCAAGTTTATCATTATTTAAATTATATAATAAATATATTATTTATATGTTAAATAATTTAAATAATATATTAAATTTATATATTAAATAATATTTTTAAAAAATTATTGAGTCGAGTCGAGCCGAGCCGAGCCGAGCTCGAGCCCAATTCCTTATCAAGCCAAGCTTGAGCTCAATAAACGAGCTTGATAAGTAAACGAGTCAAGCTCGAACTCAACAAAGCTCGGCTCAGTTTAGCTCGACTCGGTTCATTTGCAGCCCTAGTCCACACCAACCCTAGCAAATTGAAGCATCTCTTCCTTTTTTTCTTTTTCTTTCCATCCTGTAGGTGCAATTTTCTAGGAAAAAAGTTGTTCATCTACACAGATAAGAAAATGCTTATTTGTTACATAAAGATGATAAAAAATAAGAAAATGGGTTTTCCTCTGTTATACCTATTTGAACAAATCGTCCTGAATTCTTCAATTGGTGGTCTTCGGGTCTTCAAAACTTGGCAATGAACTTGTCTATGTAAAACAGAAATATGATGTTTCAAGTTGCGTTACTTAGTCGCTTTCCTAAAGACAATATTTGCACTCACCAAAAGTTGTGCAGGGGATTACAACAAATTCGCAACTAGGATACAATGAAACCTAATCTAAAGATCAAGTCTCTCAACGTCTGCACTGGCGACAATAGATCAAAACACTCTTGATATAATCAAGAAAACCAAGACACTGATAATCAAATCTGCAGAACTTGATTACCAGTAAGAAAAACAGAAATTTGTTTAAGAAACTCTTGATCGAAAAATCTAAATCAAGAGAGAGAGAATTGCAAGAATGCCTTTTGAATTTTTTGATGGATTGAAATGATTGAATTCGTAGCCTATTAATAGGCCTTGATGCATCTGATTGAATGGTCATGTCCCTTAATCGTATCCGAGTAGATCTGACTGTTAGATCGACGATCTATGGTGCAGATCATTCTCACACTGAATAGCTGCCTTGACTGATCACACTTGATCACGATCGAGATCCATCACAGCCATACGATCGCGCACATCTCCAATCAACGGTTATGATCAAACTGCTCCAGATCGGACATGCAACCATTAGATCGATTGGTTGACACATCGCCAACGGACGCCACATCACTGTCACGTAGAGCTGACTGTATTCCACGTCACCCATGCTACGTTGGATCCACGTCATCGCTCCAGCTTGTCCGATGTAAATAAGAAAGCGCCCTTATGGGGCTTTGTGAAGTGCAAAGTACGCCATTAAACGCCACACAGCTCACACCATGCGCGCGCACGTACAAATGGTGCGAAGCATTATCCTTGCAGTGTGGGTACATGCACACTAACTTTCACCTCACAATTTCTTCCATGTGGCATTTTATTAAGTGCTCCATGTTTTCCTCTCTTTTCGATGTGGAACAAAATCCTCAAGCTTATTTCAAGTTTTTCAAAGAAAAACAAGGAAGATTTTGAAAATACTCAAAAATATTTTTATTTTTTTTATTCTAATTACTCCAAAAATCTCTGCAACAAGTAACAACCGTGGCCAATCTTAATTAAAAAAAAGGTAAATTACAGACACATTCCCTACCAATAGGTCCTAATAGTTGAACTTAATTTTTATCAAGTCCTATTGAAAAAAAATCTCGATAAAATCGTCGCTAAAAATATTTTTTTTTGTGACGATTTTTTACACGTCGTTAAAAATTGACAATTAGTAACTTTTTCCTATCATGATTTTTATAAATTGTCGCTAAAACTTACAATTAGTGTCCTTTTTTGTAATGAATTTTTCAAATTGTCACTAAAACTTACAATTAGTGACACTTTTTTGTGACAATTTCTTTAAACTGTTGCTAAAACTTATAATTAGTGACATTTTTTGTGATAAAATTTTCATATTGTCGCTAAAAATTAACAATTAGTGACATTTTTTAATAGTGTTTAATAAAAAATGATAGTAATTATCATAGGACCTATTAGACAATAAGTCCACTTATTTGGACCTACACGTAAATCTTCCAAAATTAAACTACACATTTTAAAAATTCCCCAACAATACCTATGCATATACTTCAGCTATCTAGGCACAACAAGCTCACATCTTCGTGAAACATATCTCATCTTATAGCATTCATACCCTCTTCTAACAAGAATACATGTTCTGTTAGTATTTTTTTTGGGTAAATTACATATATATATATATATATGTATATAAATTAAAAAAAATAAAAAATAAAAACCTACTTTGAAAGGCTTAAGAGCTCAAGGAAAAACTACACTGCTCATTTGATACAATAGGAACAGTTAATTTTTCTTCCCAACAAGTACAAGAGGATAGGACTTTTTCACCTATTTAAAACAGAGAAACTATGGCCGGGTCTTCTTTTATGCAGCAACTACTAGAAGAGTATTTGAAAAAATTTAAACTATAAAATTAAACTTCAACAATTGATAGCCGTTTTAGTAATGCCAATACAGAACAAAGCCGTATGTGCTCAATCTGGTTATTTGCCCGTGTGTTTTTACCTCGAGGAGAGTGTCTAATAAACGGCCGCATAATAATTCAGATGGGTAGCTCAAGTTGAACAGAGCCCTAACCCAAAACATCAGACGTAACCATCTCCTTGGATTTAGCAAACCAGATGGAGTCCTGGAAACCCTTTGGACCTGAAATTAATAGATCCACATGTCATCCTAACAGAGCATCATTAAAGAAAGGAAAATGTTATAGGTCCCAAATTTTCTACCAAATTAATGATCAAATGTCTCACATTTGAAAGAAAATTTGGTATCCCTAACATTATCCTTAAAGAAATTAAATTAACAACAAAGAATATGACTTTTCCAAGGAACAATAAAAGCTAGGAAGTTTTGGGATTTCACTCTCTTATGCATCATGTGGTGCATTTAGAGAGAGAGAGAGAGAGAGGGAAAAGAATATTCAGTCTACATTTTGGAAGGCATTGCGTCAGCATTGTCATTCTTTTAAGAATAGATTTTCTATTTTTGTTGTATTGTCTTTTAGATTTTTCTGGGAGAGCTATTTAAACCTTTCGATTTTTGGGTGTGTTTGGTTGTTGTCACTCACTGGTTTGGAATACTCAGTGTGCACACAATGTTGCACCTCTTCTTGTGCGCTTACCATCTTGCTTGCTTAAATAAATAAATAAATAAATTTAAGAAAAGAAAAGCAAACAACAGAGAATGTAAAGTTAGGCTTACAATTTTGCAATTATAGATATAGAATTTTGTAAGGCCGCCAAAAGAAGTAGCTCCAAAGACGTGCTCAAAATAATTCAAAACACAAACTATTCATCAAGCTGCAAAAACTAAAATTTAGAAATTTTCTATTTTCTTAGGTTCTGTTTGCTTTTTTTTTTAAGAAAACATTAAATATGTCAATATTTATTTTTGGTAAAAACGAAAACAACAATCATGTTAAGTACAAATATATGTTTTATAAACTTGTTTCGAAAATGAAGGGGGGTAGCCGAAGGTGGTTGTTGATGGTCGGAGATGGTGGTTGAAGGTGGTTTTTAGCAAGAGGTGGTGGTCTTGCCGCCAATGAGAGGTAATTGCTAGAGACTCGAAGTGGTTGCCGATGGTCAAAAATGGTCGCCGGAGGTGGTGGCCAAAGGTGGTTGTGGCTAATGGGAGGTGTTTGTCAGCAACCAAAGTTGGTTGACGGCCAAAACGGGCCAAACAAAAAGCATTCAGGAAAAGGTGAAGAAAAAATCTTAAAAAGGTAGAAGAGTAAGTGGCCAAAGAATACGAATCTGGGTCAAGAAAAAGGCAAACCAGTTTAAAATGATTTGGATTAAAGTATGAAGGAGTTGGACAATTGGGTTTACATGGGTCAGCAGATTGAACCTGCTTGTTAATTCAGCGGGTTTGGACTAGTCCAACTTAGGGTGCAACCCAAACTTACCCATCCATTTTCCACCTCGGGTCTATACTATCAGAGACTGTATCATACCACTACCCCAACTGCTGAAAGGGCTTTACACAAAAGCCAAAAATAAATAGATAAATAAGATGTATGTAATCGATTACAACATTCAATTATTAGTCAGTTGTCTTCATACTGCAACTTATCAATTTTTATATACCAAAAAATCATATGGTTGAACAATACCAGACTTTTGACAATAGGTCACACTATTTCTAACTTGCAACTTAAATTACAACAACAAAGTGACGCTTATTCCACACTTATCAACAACAACGAAAAAAAAATGGTAGTTTTTACTCCACCGTAGTAAGCAAACCAAAAATGGACACAATGCAATCAAATAATGACCACATACAGAAACTGCAGAACAATAAATAGTGGAGTTAGGATTAATACCTCTAAAGGACTCTGAAGATCCAGTGAATATTGGAAGTCTCTGTGCCAATCCTCGGTTTTTTTCACCTTGATGAGCTAGGGTGGGATCAAAGCACTCAACCTACAAGACAAAAGTAGAAAAAAGAATTGTAAGTCATGTACAAACCCCCCAGAGTGCTGGTCAAATTCAAAAATACAATATGTAGGTAACAAATGAATGTTACCTCCACAGATAGAGCGGCATACATGAAAATGATAAATATCACATGCGGAGGTAATTTTCTCCTTTGAGAGACCAAAACTCTGGATGTATGTTGTAAATAATAACCATTTACTGGTTATTTAGACACTTGAAGCCCCATCAGGGAAGTTAATTCTTTAGACTTTCCGCTTACAAGAATATCATAAGTTGTATTATCAGGTACAAGACCTCTGTCAAGCATCTCATCGTGCAATCTAAAAGCTTCTTGCAAATTCCCCTCCTTGAAGTATCCAGCAATCAATGTACTATAAATAAGAACATTAGGAGTCATACTCTTCTTGTCCATCTCTTCCAATACCTTCCGTGCATTCTCTAGCTGCTCTTTCTTACAAAGACCGTGTTCCAAAACAGTATATGTGATGGCATCAGGCACAATACCTTTGGCAAGCATCTCAGTGTACAATTCTGATGCAAAAAGTATTTTTCCCTCTTTCAGCAACCCATCAATCAATGTAGTGTATGTTGCCAAATCACATGGGATCCCCTCATTAATCATTTTCTTATGCAATGCAAGTGCTTCTTCCATGTTATTCAGATTTTTGAAGCCACTGATCATGCAATTATAAACAACTGCATTAGGAGATAACCCAACTTCAAGGAGTTCATTGAAGAGTTCACATGCATTTTCCATGTCCCTCCTTTTGCAAAATCCATCAATGAGAACACTGTATGCCGTGACATCCAATTCAAGACCCTTGTTTCTCATTTCATTCCTCAGTTTCAATGCAATATCTATATTATTGCTTTTACAGAACCCATCAATCAAACTGGTGTAAGTGACAACATTGGGGGAAACCCCACATTCACACATCTCTCTATACACATCTAATGCAATAGTGATAGCACCCTTCTTGATAAAGCCATCGATAATGCTATTGTAAGATCTACAGATGGGGATAAAACCCTTCTCCACAAACTTCTTCAGCATATCCCTTGCCTCAGATGTGCGACCAACTTTGCACAAACCATTGATGATTGTATTAAATGTGAAGTCAGTAGGAGCAATTCCCAAGTCCACCATCTGGTCGAACATGCCAAGGGCTCGTTCAGTCTCACCATTCTTAAAATAACCATCGATCAAAATGCTATACGTGACTACATTAGCTTTGAAACCTATTTCCAACATCTCAGAAAATAGATGTGACGCTAAGTCCATATTCCCTTTTCTGCAGTGGCCAAGTATCAGGTTGTTGTATGAAACTACACTTGGTTCCACTCCCTTATTCACCATCTTTTTCCATACATTGCTGGCTTCTTCCACCTTACCCTCTTTGCAGAGCCAGAATATCATGCTATTGTACGTGACAACATTGGCAATACCAGTGTCAACTGCCTCATCAAACTGCTTGGATGCCTCCTCCCACAGCCGGGCTCTCACAAGTCCTCGTATCAACGAATTTACATTATAGAAACTTGGCTGGATACCTTCAAGTTTCATTTGGGCATATAATTCAGATGCCTTTTCCATGTTTCCATTCATACAACACCCTTCAATCAGAACTGAGTAAGTGACCTTGTTGGGCGTAAATCCATCCTGAACAATCTTACTGAACAAATTTAAAGCACCATCCAAATCACCTTGCATACAATACCCCTTCATCAAGCTAGTTGCAACCACCAAATTCATCGGCTTTCCGCTACTAACCATTTCATCCTTTAGCTTTAAAGCATCTACCATGTTCCTTTGCTTCACACAAGCTCCAATCACACTTGTAAATGTGCCCTCAGAAGGAACCCACCCAATTTTCTTCATCTCATTCAACAACTCACATGCCACATTCGACTTAGGTTTTCTACAAACAGCCTGAATAGCAGTACTGTATATCGCTGCATCGAGCTTAAGCCCGCTAGCCTTAGCTTCTCTAAAGTACCGTTCTGCCTCATCGGTCTTCCCTTCCTTCAAACATGCACGCATCATCACGTGTATGGTAAAACAGTCATAGTTAAATCCTCTGGAGGCTACATCATTGTACAAACCTCGAGCTTGTCCAATCATGTCTTTTCTAACCAATGCAGTCAAGAGAATATTTATATACTCAATTCCTGGATCTATTTTGCTTATTATCATTTTATCAAAGCAATAAATCGCATCTTCGATTCGACTAGCCCTAACATAACTATTCAACAAATAATTAAAAACATGTGAATCTAACTCAAATTGAAACTTTCTCGAGCAGTCAACCAAGTGATCAACAAGAACACTAGCAGAGGGACCTGAATCCCCCAAAACGTATTGGTTAAGCAAATGCCGAGCAATGCCATGATGGTTCGGCGAACCCACCAAAATGTAGAGCAAAAGGCAAAAGGGGTCGACAATGCGGACGAAACCGCGCCGTTTCTCGGCCCATTTGAAGTACTCCAAAGCTGAATCAGGGTTATTTCTATGGCTTAGAAGAACTTGTATCACATGGGTTTGTTCAAGAACCGGGTTTTGTGAAATGGGTTCAGTGAATTCGTACCTGGATTGTTCAGTTTCTGAAATGGATTTCTCGAGAAAATCGGAGAGTTGAGACTCTGAGATGGGTTTGTGAGAAAGCTCTGGTTGGGAGGTTGAATTTGCGTTGAAGATTTGGGGTTGAGAGTGTGAGGTCGAAGCTGAGGAGCGAGATCTATGGGATGCGAGAGATCGGATCGACCATGGAGCAAGAGATGAAGGAGCCAACCAACTTCTCATCTCTCTGGTTTCTGTTGTGATTCAATTCAACAAACACCCTTGTGTTTGTTTTGGCGTGTAGAGAGAGAGACTAATAAACCTCACAAGAACCCTAGATTGCTTGTGGTTATTTTTTATTTTTTTATCAAAAAAAGAAAAAAAAAAAAAAACAAAAACAAAAAAAGAAATGCACCGTGAGATATCACACAGTATTTGCGGGCCTGGTACCGGGATAATTGATTGACAATCAGACTTCAGCTAATCTAACGAAAGGAACTCAGTCACGTATTATAGAAGAGATTAAAAAAATTGATTGAAATTAGGGATGTTGTAGGGGCCGAGTAAGGCATGTAAAGAGGTTGAATAAGTGAACTTGAAGAGTCGAGATATATACATTGTGTTTGGTCCCGTCTTATATAAATACAGAAGTATCCTAATTGGCCGCATAACCAGTTGAGCGAGAAACCGAGTGAAAAGCAGTTTGTAACAAAAGGAGCCGAGTAAATAGTTACACGGTGGATTAAAGGTGAGCCCAACCCTGAGGCCAAAGAAGAGATATATATAGAAGAACATCAACCAAAGAGAGGTGTGTGAGAACTAGTATGCTTAACTTAAAACCCAAGCAACCAAGAGAGTATACATTGACTTGTCCGTCGAAGTGCTAATTTCGGCACCCCCGACCGGAGTGTTCATTCCTTTTCAGGTGGCTAGCTGAGGATCACGAGCGTCCCACAGGATCCAAAGAGTATTTCCAAACCACTTCCCCACAATTGGCGCCGTTTGTGGGAATACTCCAGTACATCCATAGCGGGCGTGACGGAAGATCCTTCGGCAGTCGCTGACAACCTTACGCCATGAGTTGATACCACTCCAAGCACCATGTTGGGACTAGAAAACATCACTGCACGAAGAGCCTTGAACTCCGATTCAGCTGATGAGACAATGCAAGCGATTATGGATCAGGCGAAACAAAACGAACAGAGGTTGGAGAACATGATGACTGAGAACGAGTGCCTTCGTCAGGATTTGGCCTTAGAGGTAGTGAAATCCCAACAGGCTGTGCGCCAAGATCTGGCACAACCTCTAAGAAAATATGGTCGACAACCCCGAGTTCGAAGACAAGATAGTAGCAGTGATTCTGATTCTTCATCCCCAAAACCCAAAAAGAAGGGGTGAGTCGAAGTCTCTTGTTTTTTCTGAAGGAAGTCCGCATGCACGGAATAAGAGGAGAAAAAATGATTTAGATGAAGAGGACCAACATGCGACGGATCGCAAAGGCAGCACTATCCAAAAAGTTCAAGGCTCCATCATTCACTCTATACGACGAAAAATTGGATCCCACTAACCACATCTGTCATTATAAGCAGGCCATGATGCTGCATGCAGACGACGAGACTCTCATGTGCCGAATATTTCCGAGTAGTTTCGGACCATTAGTTGTTAGATGGTATTGTAAGTTGGAACCGACATCGATTAAAAGCTTCCATCAATTACAGAAATCCTTCAGGACAAGATTCATCACCAATGAGGTCCAGCCGAAGCAAGCCGACTCTCTCTGGGCCATGCAAATCTAGCCAGGGGAAACCTTACGAGCGTATTCGGTGCCCTATTGGGAGTGCTTTAATCTTGTGGACGACGCCTGCAACGACTCCATGGCCATCACCGCCTTTAAAATGGGGTTGCATCCGGATAGTGCCCTCCGCAGTTCTTTGACCAGAAGGCCCCCTAAAACAGTCTGGTCATTGATGAAGAAAGTTGAGGAATACTTCAAAGTGGAAGATGACGCCCTGCGGATTAAAGCCGAGCAAAAGGCCAACAAGACGGCCCAATCTGAAATAATCTAGCCGATTAATGCTGCACCATTCCGGAACCCTGAACCACGGAATCGGGCTAAACGAGACAAGAGACGGGATTCGCGCCGATCAAATGACCAATGCTCCCATCAAGCTGGTGAACAACTTCAAGTGGATAGCAGGCGCACAAGGCGCGCGGACAAGAAATATACGGAGTTGTCAGAGCCAATCAGCACGGTTATGTCTAAAGTCCAACACCTTCCGTTCTTCAAATGGCCATCCAAAATGGTAGGACCTCCTGACACAAGGAAACGGGATAGGCGGTGCAAATATCACAAGGACCACGACCATGATACCGAAAGTTGTTATGCGCTAAAGGATCACCTTGAGAAATTGGTACAAGATGGTCGGCTTAAGTAGTACGTCCAAAAAAACAACTCAACCAAAACAGTAGCTTTACGGCAGGATTCACCTCCTCTCGGCGTGATCGATATGATATACAACCTGCCGACGGCATCAGTGGTATATATAATTTAGTCGCATCCAGACCTTAAAAAGCAAATCACACCAGCAAAGTGGCCCTATGAAGCTCCGAGTATTACCTTCGACGATTCTGATTTGATTAGCGTCACGCTCTCCGACATCGATCCATTGGTCATTGAACTACGCGTAAACCGATTCTTCGTTGAACGGGTTCTCATTGACTAGGGGAGTACTTCGGAAGTCATGTACTACAAGACCTTCATCAAACTCGAGTTCACCGAGTCGAACCTGTCTCCGGCTCCTTATCCGTTATTCGGCTTCAACGCTAATCCAGAATACCCATTGGGCAAAATCACACTACCAATTCGAGCGGACTCCCGAACAGTGGATGTGAAATTCTTGGTTGTCAAGCTACCTTCACCGTATAATCTTATCATGGGATGAACTTGGCTGCATACCATGTAGGCCATGCCAAGCACCTATCATCAATTGCTCCGCTTCCCGACTGAACGCGACATTAAACAAATCCGTGGTTCCCAGAAATTGGCACAAGCATGTTATCTTCTTACTACGAAGACACCAAAAGAGCTGGAAGTGAACTTTATTGAGGTACCGGATCGAGAGAGCCTCGACGATGTTGGACGGCTCCCAAGTGAAATGGCCACGGAAGCCCTAGATCGAGTTGAAATTAACGGGAATCCCGACAGGTTCTTCATGGTCGGCGCCTCACTGAACAAAGTGGACAGGCAATAACTAATTACCTTCTTACTCGACAACCTCGATGTATTTGCATGGTCACCGTATGAGATACCAGGGGTAGATCCATCTATTTCTCAGCACCGTTTAAATGTTGACCCCAAATGTAAGCCGATTATTTAAAAGAGCCGGTGGTCAGTCACAGAACACATTGTCGCCGTTGTTAAAGAAGTTGATCGATTGCTTGATGCCGAGGTAATTTGGGAAGTGACCTATCATACATAGCTATCCAATACTGTGGTTGTAAAGAAGAAAAATGGGACTTGGCGTGTCTGCGTGGATTTCACAGACTTAAACAAAGCTTGCCCCAAGAATTGTTTTCCCCTCCCCATGATAGACCAACTCGTAGACGCCACAGCACGCCATCAACGTATAAGCTTCCTCGATGCCTATAGAGGCTACCATCAAATTGCCATGCATCTGGAAGACCAAGGCAAAACTGCATTCCTCACCCCAAGAGGAACTTACTGCTATAAGGTTATGCCTTTTGGGTTGAAGAATGCAGGAGCAACTTACCAAAGACTAGTCATTGCCATGTTCAAGGAGCAACTCAGCCGTACCATTGAAGTGTACATTGACGATATAGTGGTCAAGTCCAAAGAAGAGCAAACTCATCTAGCCGATTTGGAAGAGACATTCGGCATTTTACGCAAGTACGGAATGAAGCTGAATGCTTCCAAATGTGCGTTTGGGATTGGATCTGGCAAATTCATTGGCTACATTGTCAACCACCGAGGAATCGAAGCCAACCCGAGGCAAATCACAGCAATCCTGGAACTCGGCTCCCCTCGATCAGTCAAGGAGGTTCAAAAGTTGATGGGGATGGCCGCCGCACTCAATAGGTTCATCAGTCATTCAACAGATCGCTGCTGACAATTCTTTCATACCCTACGGCAGGGTAAAGCTTTTGAATGGACCTCTGAGTGCGAAACTGCTTTTAATGGTTTGAAGACTTACCTCTGATCAGTTCCACTATTGACAACACCATCAGCAGGTGACCCGCTCATTTTATATCTGGTCGTTTCCGACCGGGCCGCCAGTGCCATACTATTAAAAGAAGAGCTTGGGGAGCAGCGACTAGTGTATTATGTGTGCAAGGCAATGGTTGACGCCGAAACATGTTACCTTCCGTTAGAAAAACTCATCCTAGCCCTCGTCATGGCAGCAAGAAAACTGATGCATTACTTCTAGGGGCATACCATTGGAGGACTAACGGATTACCCCCTCCGGTTAGTACTCCGCAATGCAGAAGCATCAGGGCGCGTTTCAAAGTGGGCTCTCGAACTCGGCCAGTACGACATTCAGTTTCTGCTTAGAACCTCAATCAAGGGGCAAGTACTTGCTTATTTTGTGGCCGAATTCATTGGAGGTCTTGCCGGTTTCAAGTTTGGTCAAATTCAACCTAAGCCAAACTAGAGAATTTATGTTGGGGACATTTGGCAATTATATTGTGACGGATCATCCAACCAACGGGGCAGTGGGGCCGGAGTAGTGATCATGGCTCCCGACGGAGCAATAATCGAGCAGGCCGTCAAACTCGGCTTCGAAGCATCGAACAATGAGGCCGAATACGTAGCCCTACTAACCGGCTTACGGAACGCACATCTTTTGGGTGCTTGGCGTTTGCTTATATTTTGCGATTCAAAACTGGTGATCAATCAACTAAAGGGGGAGTATGCGGCCAAAAATGACCGTCTGGCAGCCTAAATGAAAATGACAAACTCCTTACTGGCACAATTTGACCATCATGAATTGAACCAAATAACCCGTGATCAGAACACATATGCAGACGTCCTGCCCTGCCTAGCCTCCGCCATTAACTCAGAGATTAAATGGACAATTGAAGTGGGTTTCATCCTTAAGCCGAGCATTGGCCCTTCAGAGGAAGTCCAGGTCAATGTCATAGAGTTAGGACCGAGTTGGATGGACTTCATTGCTGCATTCCTATCTTTCAAACAGCTCCCGTCGGATAAGAAAGAAGCGCACAAGCTGCAAAACAAAGCCCTGCGATACAACCTGGATCCGCAAGGAAAACTTTACAAAAAATCCCTTTCTGTTCCATACCTAGAATGCGTTCATCCGGATCAAGTCGAGGAACTCCTGACTAAAATACATGAAGGTA